ATAATATGTTTATTATATATATATATATATATTATATATATATATATTATATTATTATATATATATTTGTGGAAAAAATTAGAATTAGATTATTGTGTTGATTTGTATAAATTTGGAGTTGTTTGTATAGATAGGCCGAGATCCATAGAGAGATCCGACATGTGCAAATTCTCCACTGCGGCGGATCCACTCAGCGGATACGAGCGGGTATGGAATATCGGCGCTCATCATGGAATATTGCGATAACATTTCTCTTATTTCTTTTTTTTTTTAATACATTGCGTCGAGGAAGGGAACATAGAGCAATGTGATTTGTAACGCGGTCAACGGCTGATTTTTCGTACCGGAGCGTTAACGAAGCGTTTTCCTCGACACTCGCGGATCTCGCGAATTTATCGTTCGAAGTGCGAGTCCGCTAGGAAAACGCGGACGTATTTATTTTCCTAACTAAGCGTCGTTCTCGCTGCGGGGTCCGACGAGGAAGATGAGTTTGCAGAACAGCCGTTTTGCGCCGCAAAAGATGATTATGGGTCTCCGAGTCTGCTTAGAGAGCTAATTCGATTTCCTAGATGTAGTATCGACACTTAAGTACCTACGAGAACACATATTGTACTGTGTGTCTCTTACGACGTTCGAAACATGTAACGGACGTCTTTATACGATGTCTTTCGCTTCTTTTTAATAAAACCAAAGAGCAAAACACAACAAGTCTTGAAATTCACTCCTAGCCTCATTGCCATTCTTTAGAAATGAAAACTCGTTTAGTCTTACGCTTGTCTCCTTCTTCAATAAATCTTGCATACTAAGCAGTTTGCGGCTCTTGTACTCCTTTCCCCTGCGAGCGAAATTGAATTAGGCATCGAATTGATATTCAGATGAAACTAAATATGTCAGATTTCTTTGGCATTCATTGGAGAACGAGCTAAGCGGCAAAGCGTCGATTTATAGCGAGACAGAAACTTTTTGGATACGCATTTGTCAGGCTGGCGTCAATATCCTTGAACTTCGTGTAGCGTGACGAATTATTGTTTATTTTTGATCGCGTGCGCTCGATATATTTCGCTCCGCGCGAGCGGTGTTCGATTGTGACCGAGGCGTTGTTCCGGTTTCTTGTTCCGGCAGAGAGCCGGAAAAGACCGGCGAAAGCCACTTCTCGCAATTTCGGCCGTGCTGCAGACGCGGAAATTCGCCCGATAATTAAGCGCCGCTAAAAAGTCTCTATGCGTAATTAACCCTCGTATATACGGTACGATGGAAATAGGACTTTCTTTTATCTAGCATGACTAACAAAGAAAAGAGCGCATACGTAACACTTCCGATTCGATGATATCAGGCGTCCTGTTCTGCCTTGCGACCTATCATTTGGATCGTGCGGATCTCAGGCATTAGACTCGTTCGCGCAGTTCGCGCTACTTGCGATGCATGTAACGAGAGTCGGAGAAAGGGTTCTCGCGCGCCTCTCTTTCTCCTGATCTGCCAATGAGTGGATCACAAGAGGAGGAGCAACACGGGATCGCGAATCAAAAGTGAAATCGCCAATCTCGATGCACGAGCCACCGCGGGCCCCCGCGGTGAATTGTTAGCAATGGGATTATTCGCTTCGGGCGTATTGGAAACTACATATGAAAGTACGTTTCGAGTATGTAGCAGGTGTTCCTTTATTGTCAAATCAGCAAGACTAGACTTGTTGAAACAACAACGCATATCTTGCAGAATGTACGTGCTATCCAGTTTATCAATCAGATGATAAGAATACAATAATGTTGAGGATACCTTTTTCCTGTTATACACAATATTATCGCAATTTTCCCACGTATCTATAATTTTAATTGTCATTTTTCGCAACTGTCAAGTCGCAACAATAAATTAACAATTAATTTTAGGTGATTATCTACGCGAGATGTAACCGATCTTTATATGAAATCCAAATGAGACTTGCGTACAAACTCAGCGGGATTAGAAGCATGAAATAAAAACAATAAATGTTTGAATAAGAAGAATCACTCACCGTATGTAGGGAATATTGGCCGGGATGTGATACTTCGCACCTGGATCGAAGTCATCCTCGGATCGTAGAACCGGCGGTTTGGTACCCGTGTATTGTTCCTTGAGTCTGTGCCAATGGCAATTGTATTCCTCCTTATTGACATAGCCGCGGAAGACATCCCATCGCCACCTGTCTATCGCGATGCTGAAGGGCAATAATACCAGTTTATCCATCGCCAAGGAGAAGAGATAATTAATGTCCGCAGAGTGTTCGTCGATGTATCTATTCGCCAAGCCCAGAGTTTGCAAATGCTGCGGCGTCGCGACGCTCAAGGCGACGGTTTCGCCGACCGCCTCATGGAACCCTGATAATTATAATAATTATTTTAGCGAAATTTAGTATAATAATTAAGTAAGGAGTTGCATTTACTTTTTCTGCAATAATTTTCCGACAATGTTTTGCTCTTAATAAATCTTATTTTAAAATATTAATATATGTTTGTTTTGTTATATTTATTTATTTTTAGATATTAAATTCATAAAACAAGTTATAACAATGCTTATTTTATTTAAGAGACTATGGTAATAAATTTTTATTTTTATTATTTTTATTATCAATCATTTTAGATTTCGAGTTTTATTCGCGGATGTTTTGAGAAGTTTGGCTCTTTGATAATCGAACGGTGAAAGTTCGACGTCGGATGAAACAGATGGCTTGTCGTAGAGTTCCGTCTACGATTATTGCAAAGTTTCTCGAGGTTCTCCGCGAATAACCCGATGGCTTTTTGCATTTGATGCGATTTAGCGCTAACCAGGATGTAATTACAGTTACTGCGGATTAGTCAAGCGTGGCAGATGACGCTGATTATTTTCCTTTTTTCTTATCTCGTTTCCCTATGCAAATTGCGCATACGCCTCGAACGCGTAATTAATCGTAGCGCGATTTCGTAACTCAGTATTAGAGTTAATTAGCCATTGCGAATACACGAACGTGCGGAATGTAGATGAAAATCCGCGATAAAAAAATTATTCGCGAACGCAGAACGAAATTTGACGTCGAAGTGAACGGTAATTCCGGAATAATTCTGGATCGTGTAACCGAGATCGATCTCAAATGGAGCGATAAATTGCCTAGATGGAGTAGATCTTACGTGATTAAGGAGAGGCAGATTTTATTCTCGCTCGGATTTTATGTGAAACCGATCGAACGATTGGCAAGGCCGCCGCGAAGCGGCCTATTCTCGTTGAAACTTGAAACAATCTGTGTTCCGGTGTAAGGCGAACGACCGGCCGGCCGTTGCTATAGTGAAAGCGCGATTATACCGTAATAAAAATATTTTAACGTACGCGCCCGACGCCAATGTACGCGAGTAACATCCACTTGGCTATTCGCGAGTAGCGTAGCGCGCAGCGCGCGTACACCTCGAGCGTGTCGTATGCGCTCTCGCTTTCGCGCTATTAGCTGTAAGACGCACGCAAGTCGACTTCCGGAAGTCGGCCCGAGAATCCGGACCCGTCAAGCTTATGTAACGAGTTGTCATTTGTCCGGCATGCATGGCATCATCACCGACCGTCTCCCATTATTTTGTCCTACTCTGCTTTCTTCTCAGCGTGATACAATTTCTTACTGTCGCTCTCGCGTGTATTATATGAAACATTGATCAGCTAACATTGATCGCTTTATTCATCAATCTGGACGGTGTCTTGTGAGCGTTTTAAAAATGTTGTAACACTTTTATAATAATGTTAATATATTATTTTTTGTTTATTTATATCGCGCAAAATATAGAGACAAGGGATAGCATCTTATCTTAACTATCTAACTATTTTCTTGTAAAAAGTTTTATCTTTATCATTATGCAACTTATCTTGTCGTTTTATACTTGATTTATATATATATTTTTATTATATTCTGAATTTTTTTAAGTAAAATTTATACTAATGATTACAATAATGGTTAATGTTATTATTTGTGAATTAAATCTTGGTAAACTTGAGCTTTAATTTATATAATATAATCGCGCAATTATGTTATAATTTTATTATATGTTTTTGTTTAATGCGTTAATTACAGAAAATGTATAAGATAGCCTTGAAGATTCTGAATATATTTTTATACCTGGATTAGCGCCGTCGCGAAATTCGCGAGGTAAACCGCTGTACCGCAGGAAGTACTGGATGTGTCCCATCTCGTGATGTAAAGTTATTAAATCCTTCATCGTCACTTTTGTGCACATTTTGATTCTAAACCATATTACGTAACACCATATTAAAACTCTTATTACTTTATATCTTCACAATTATTTAATATGTTTGCATTTATGATAATGCCTTTAAAAGCCTCTTGTTGATATTAACTCAACATATTAATTCATCACTATACATGTTAACATTAATAATAATAATAGATAAATATTAATAAATATATTGACCTGTAGTCTATACGATTGCAGAAGTCCCACGCAGACGCTTGACAGATTAATGGACGATCCCCGGGATCTGCGATTATACTTCCAGCCCAAAATTCTGGCGGCATGGCGCTTAAGTTTAAGGACAAATAGAATTCCTCGGCTACTCGAATCATGTCAATGGGTGTATAACCCTAATTATAAAAAAAACATTTATCAATATTGATTATATTATATTATATTATCAATGTTCAATATAATAATATTATATATGAAATATTAATTATATAAAAAAAGGAGAATTTACGTACTTGAGCTCGCATTTCCTGCGTAACATCAGGATATATTTTTCCAGGATATGGCAAAGTAACATCCAAGAGATTGGTCCAAGACTGTCCCCATATATTACCTAAAATATCCAGTAAAGAGAAATAGATATATAGCATAACTATAATATGGCATAAATATAATAATATATAGCAACAAGCAAGTTGCATTTAACTAACCGACAATCTATAGATAATAATATATGTATGGTGTAAAATAGTTGAGAAATTGAAATAAATATTTTGTAATACGTTGCTCTTACCAAGAATATGAGACGGAAGAGGCGCGTGTCCGCCGATCTTTTCAGGACCGTAGAGATCTCTCAGCTTCTTACGAACATAAGCGTGCAATTCTTCGTAAAGTGGACGTATCGATTCCCAAGCCTCGTCAATATCTTGTTGGAAATTAGGAGATTCATAAGGGAACATCCAATACTCGGCGGCATCAGTGAAGTCTATAAAATAAAATAGTATAATTATTTAATATTCTCAAAATATCCGGAATATTATTCAACACATGACTCAACTGACATGTACGATTTTCATGCCACATTCTATATTTATTAATCCAAGTATAAAATAATTTTGTCATCTGCTATAAATTAAAAACAAAAAAATTTTCTCATGATAAAAAAATTTTGATATCTATAATCTTTTTACAGTCTTAGGTAGAAAGAAATTACACGCTAATCGACTTCGTCAGCACTATAGATTCTATTTAACGCGTCATACTTCCGGTGTAGAGTTAAAATTAGACGTACTATTCATTCTTGCAGCATCATTGCTCAGCGTAACGAGTTGTTGATATAGATCTCTAATCGGCCTGCCGCTTCGTCTTCTCCATTCTGTCCAGACGTACTGCAGTTCGTCCCAATCCCGACTTCTCGCCATAATTTGCGCTATGTCTGTGTTAAAATATAATTAGTACTCTATCTTATATTTTTTACATGAGTTATATTGTCTACACAATTTTTTATTAAATACAGTGAATTATAAATGAATTTTGTGCTAATTATGCAAATTTTTTTATCTTTACATCAATAAAAATACCATTCTCCCGCATTTTGAACAACGTAAACAAAATTTATATCGATAATGGTCTTTTATTATACCAAAAATAATTATTAATAATTATTATAAGATCCAGAGTAACAGTAATCGTAATTGATCGACGTTAAGCACAAATTTCTTCATTGTGTCGTAAATTTCGTCGTTCAATTCATCATTTTGCTCTCGAAGATCGAGCACAGCCAATTAATATTTCGTGGCACATGCTAGACACGAGCGACTAATTAAGTTCTTTGTATTAAACTGCATTTAACGGCGTAGCGTCTTCGCTTAATTATTCACTTTCTATTTGCGCACATTCTGCGTGCCTCTGGAGGAGCCTCGCGTTGCGTCTAATGGGCGTGCCCCCCGGGGATTTACATTAAACATAAAGATAACGGACAATTAGAGGCGCATACGGCGCGGTACAGAGATTTTCATAAATTAACGGAAAAGACGAAGAGATTTCCCCGCGGCGCGGCTTGCGCGCGCTCGCGTGACGTATCCTGTTTTCTTCACACTTTCATGCGCATTTTGGACTTACGTAAATTCCCACCGTGGAATTTCGCCGCGACGAACCGTGAACGAACGGCATCGCGCCGATCAGATCGGCGTTATTCAGCGTAATTCGTGATGTATTACCTGGATATAAACGTAGCTCGCACCGGAACGGATCGTTGTAAGCGCATATGGTCGCCGCGTTATAAATCGCGAGCATATCGTTGATCAGGCGATTATACTGCAAAGAAATAATTCTGTTACCATCGCTATCGATACTTACTATCACAGATTAAAACGGTAATATAGGCGTTAATGGTACTTGTACAAATAAAGCATTTACCCTGTCTAGTTGATCGGGCGGCAGCGCCGAGGGACCCACGGCGGATAAATAACGGAGTCGTCGTCTAATTATGGGATCTCGAATGGCATTTATGTCGATTCTGGAGATTAAAAGCCAAGCCTGGTACTGGAAGTCTGCATACAGACGTTGGGCATCCAGCTGCGAATGTAAGTGGAAAAAAATTAAAGGCAGATCTCATATGAAAAGAAATAAATGCTCTTTTTAATTATATTTATTAAGAAATAGATAAATTATTTTAATTACTCTTAAATGACAAAGGTTGCGTGTTGCTTTGTGAATCTCGCGATTGTGCAATTGTACTAATTACATGACGTAAAGAAACTATGCTGTCGACGACTGATTAGGAAACATAGTCAGAGGAGAATGCGAATCGGTGAACGATAATTTTACCGTTAGAGATAAAATTATCTGTCTGTTCTTCCTGACAATAACTTGCATTCAGAGAAAAGTGCCTAAGAAAATGAAACTAAACCCTTCCATATTTAAACGTGCAATGCAACTGTAATTTAGGTGATTTGATTATACAATTATCGCGTAATGCGACCAATTTGAAATTTATAATATAATTTATAATTATTTATAATATTCATGTACATTATACATTACATACATTACATATTTATTATTATTATATAAGAAACCACATGACTGCATAATGCAAAGACAAATTCTAGTTACATATTACTCGGTACATTTCCACGTACCATGACAACATGCGTAAGGAATCGACTCGGAGCAGATATCACGTAATATCACGCGATGTAACTTTTGTAATCTGATCGCCGTGAAACAACTCATGTGCGTCCACGATATAATTTTACAAAATATATAAATAATCATAATTGCTATATAATTATGGGCAATAATAAGGCAAATTGCTCTATTATGAGTTCTGTAGACGATGCGCAAGTTACATTTTCAATTTTAACTCAATTTATTAATAAAAAGTTTCAAGTTAAAATTGAAAATATAATTTGCACCTCGCCTACAGCGCTGACTCTCATTTGCTCTATTATCGCCCATTATTATAATACCGCGAATCTTTTTCGTTAATAATTAAATTATATACGCTATATAATTATATAGCGTATTGAGGCAAAACTCAAATAGCTCGAAAGCAACTTCGGCGACCGGTTGCTAATGCCTTCCACGCGATAATGAGACAAGGCAGGTGGTTCGCCGTGTCGTACACCGACATTCTCGTCCGCGGAAAAGGGAAATGGCGCCTCGATTATCATTAACGTCATGCGACGCGAGCCTCGCTGGGTTTCGCATTGAAAAGTACAAAACTCCCGTTTCCCGGCGATACGAGACGGCTGGGGCGTTGCACAATCGCCCAGGATAATTATTACGACAATGGCATCGCCTGGGAAAATTTCCCGCGGAGGCGTTCGGTCTTTCGCGGACAATGCGAGCACATCTCGTGCCAGGGAAAATCGTGGTCGCGACGGCAACGAGGTGGCGCACGCGGTTCTTCATCAGCCGATTGACAAGTCAATGTGTGCGGACATCAAAAGAATCGCGCGGGAGGATACCGAGAGAGGAGGTCGAGGTCCCTTCAAAAAGCGTTTCGTACAGGATGGATGAGAAATATACGCGATTATACGCGACTTATTTTCCACGGTTGTCACTGCACTTTGTTACAACGTTGAAAACGTCGTCTTTCTAAACTTTTGCTTTCAGAATTTACATCTCCATATGATATCTTCAGTAATTATTTGCTTTAATCTTTCAATCTAATATCGTACGTTTCTCTCAACACAACAGTTGTATGCATTAATGCAAAGTGAAAGATTTTAGGATTTTATTTGAAAAGTACATTTACATTTATTAAAAATTAGATTTCAATCTCTCATTGATTATGAAAAATTGAATTATCGTCATTTTGAAATTAAATATAATTTTTTAAATGTTAATTAAATGTTATTATCAAATTATCATTCTAAATTATCAAGATATTGAATATTTTTAGTATTCGCAATAATAATATGCTTTATCACAGATGCATTTCTATAGATATCGATAACATTGTATTTCATAAGGTAACCTAAATTGCAAATTGAGAAACACATGGCTTCGCACATGCGGGTCAAAATTTCGTCAGTTTGATTAACGAGAAAGTTTCGAAACTATTTTAGTGTATGATAAAATTACGTGAAATATTCATTTGACAAACTTTTAGAAATAAATCGAATTATACTTTAAACTTACCGCTTGCAGCTGCGTATATTCGTTGACATTGGTCTCGTATGTCCATTGGGCTATTACATTAGCACTACATCTTTCTGCGCCAAGGAAATCTAATTTAGCTAAGATATTTTGATAATTTAATTCACCGGAAGGCACTTGTCGTCCTACATCTTCATTCGTGTATGAGTCTTGTCGGCTTGCATCTTCACCCCTGTACGGCACTTGTCGGCCTACATCTTCACCCCTATACGGTGGCAAATCCAATTGACCAGAAACTGTTGTTATTAGATAAAATACGAATGCTGTCCATATTGCCTAAACATATATATTTATTATACATAGTTACATTTCTCAAATAGAAATTCTATTTTAAACACATGCATATAAAAAAACTATTTGTTTTATGTATTTACATTGAAAATGATAGCTGATTTAAATTGCGTTTTATTAATTCCCAGTTAACAATATCAAATTATAAATTTTTATTACGCAATATAAGAAATACAGACAATACAAAGTTCAAAGAGACATAAATAAAACATCATTGCGAAAGACGTCCCAAAGATGTTTAAACACGTCTCAATATTCTGATGTTTTATGTTCTTGATTTTAGACGTTCCATGTTGCCTCAGATATTTTGTGTTTAAAGTAATATTTTTTTTAATTAAAATTTTTGCAAGTTTTATGTTTTAATATTAACTTGTATTTATTATTCTATTTTAATTTATGAATGAATTTAATTTATATGAATTGTTGAGAGTAATATAATAAATAATACCTAATCTACATAATTCTAATATTTCTAAAAACGTGTCACTAAGGTTGATGAACTCGGTCAGTCGAGTTTGTCAATGGATTCGATATTGACCCTACGGGCAGGATGACATATGGTTTTATGCTGACCAGTAATCGATAAAACCGGGCAAATGATTCTCAATCTATTTTTAGCAAGAGTGACAAAGAAATTTCTTAGATTTAGATGATATTGAGGATTATATCTCTTAATTCTATCTGATTTCGTAACAAATTATTATTATTAATAAAACTTTACAAGCATAACATAAATTTTGTTTGTCATTGAAAATTATTAAAATAATTAATTTGCACAGTTATTTAAATTTAACAAACTCATTTCATTTTATTATATCGTGAATACTCAAACACATCTACTTTAACATACATATATATTTACACACACACACGCGCGCGCGCGCGCGCGCGCGCACACACACAGGTGCATGAGTTTTTGGATATAAAAGTTAAATAGCGGAATATACAAATAAAAGTTAACTTCATATAAAAAGAAAAATAATTCTCAAATTGGAAATTTAGTTCATTGGAAGTTTAATTTTATATAATTCTTAGTATCATATAATCTATATTAATTAGCATTCTTAATAATTAGATAAATTCTCTAAAAAAATTCAAAATTACTTGTCATATAATAATTCTATCATACTATGTTTTATTTTCATTTGCTTTGTATAGATATATTCTTAATAGTGTAATTAAACTTTCGGAATATTCAAAGGAATATTCATTTCATAAAATTATGTATATTCCTTTTATAATCCTTTCCTTTATAATATGTCTAATTTTTTTCCTTAATATGTATATTTAATATACTGTGTTCCAATTTATAAAAATATATATAAAATTCCTTAGATATATGAAATATAGATGTACTGAATATAGATGCAGCTAATAAAAAAATTTGAAAATTTGAAGCACTTTCAGTTGTTATATATAACATAATGACCTTAGACAGCATAAAATTTAAAATCGAAACATGTCTTAAAGATATCTTTGCAAAACTTGTCTTAATAATATCTAAAAAACGTCTTATTTTTTTATATTGATCTTTATATTATCTGACATCTCTTGAATATATAAAGAATATATACGGCATTTATTTATGATATCCTTTAATCATTTTTAGGATCAATCATCATGTGCTGTTACTATGATAATATATGAAATACAAAGTGAAAATTCTCGGGTTTTTCCAGGGGAATGAAACTTTTAGGCAGACTTTAGGTAAACATAAAGTTATTGATTAAAAGAAAGTAAAATGGCGTAGTTGTTAAAGAGAGTAATGCCCCGAAAGGATAACGACCCTTTGGATAATGATTCACCTCAAGTGAACCTCAATTTTCGTACTATTCTTATGATAATTTCTAACAATAATCATCAAACTATAATGTATAAATCGTGAATAATTTTCAGATCGTTTCAGATCTAATGTTTTTTTATTTAAATCGTTTTTTTATTTAAATCGTTTGTATTAAATTATCAATATGATGAATTTTTCTTTGTGAATCTTACTTCGTAAAGCTTATATCAGATCAAAGATTAAGATTGAGGTTGAATTTGATCAATTCGAACTTTTTCTAGTCTATAATCTGACACGAACTTAAGCAAGATTATTGTATCAGAAATTATAATGTCAAAAATACCGCACTTAAATTATTATTACATCTTTCATTCCTTATAAATTAATATAGAAATCTCATTGTTTCTCTAAATCACGTCATGACATTATGAGCAAAGCATTTACGCGCAATTCATTTGTTGGTCTCACGGTCACGTGTTACGTCTTTGCGTTACGTATTTCTTCCCAACATGAAAGGTTTATGCACAGTAGTAGGTCACCTGCGATTGATTGAGATATAATGACCTTGATTTCATACAATTACATTTGAAGAATACATATTGAAGAATACATATTTTTTTATTCTTATTCATATTTCTTATTCTTTAATCTGCAACTGCATAAAGCTTAATATTTTAAGGTTCTGGTTAAAGTAATTGTTTTTTTTACATGTCTACTAAAGCGCATTTTAATATTATTCTCTATAAATCTGTATAATATTCCATGATAATATAATATTGAGATATTGAGAAGATTTATGGAAAATAAAAATAAAAAAATCCGAGCATACTTAATAAAGATAAAAACGAGGTCATTGTTACACGTAATTATAATAAGATCATACGTTACGATCTAACAGGGATGATTCATAAATACTGAGCAAAGTTGCATCTGTTTTCTAATGATTAGTCTCACATAAAACTTGCTATATTAATTCAAGTTAATTTAATAAAATATAAATACACTACTATTTAATAAAATATAAATAATATTATTTCTTTAATAAACGTAAAAAAATACAGAATTTGATGTGTAAAGTCCATTAAGAAATAATTTCAATAAATAAATAAAATAAGTTTATATAAATATTTGATAATAAATAAATTCTACATATATTAGAATTATCCTGCATAATTAAAATAATAATAATCAACTTTGATTCGTATTATAATTATTAAAAATAACAGCATATTTATAATAGTTTAAGAAAAATATTAACAAGCTTCTGATCCAAGAGAATTTTAATAGGATATTATTTATATTTGTATAGAAATATAGTAATTGAATTTTTGAAGTAAACAAAAAGAGTTATTAGAATGATCGGATATTAATTATATGAATAATTAATATCCGATCATTCTAATAACTCTTATATATTATATGAATAATTAATATCTGATTTTTTAATTGTGTATATGAAGAAAAGTGATTAAAAAATAAATTGCATATATTTAATACCTGAATATTTTTATATATCCCAAATATTACAGTATGAAAAATGTTGACACAGTTTTAACACTCTTCTAGATTCGTTTCTCACTATTTAAGTCCCTAATTTACTTAATCACATACGTCTCATTGAAATCATTCACGATATTCAACACTAGAAGGAGCACACTCATTATTCCAATGGATACACACATTTTTCTTTTCTGCTCAATCGTATTTTCCTTATTTCTTACATACACTATATCAAAGTTCTCAAATTCTTCGCCGACTGAAATTGTATAATTTTCCAACGTAACGTTTTCCAAAGATTATTCTTATTCATCCGAATAAGAAGATGAGCGATCTTCATCCTTCTAGCGTTAAAATCGTCTCGCAGGAGACAACCACCCTATTGAGAACTTACAAAACTGATGCGGTCCAACATTCTACCGGTTCCACCGAAAGCAAACTTCATCGAAAGTTAAATTTGTTTTAATCCTCGATAATGAGCATTTACGAGTGTCGTCCGATCAATTGCGGGTACACACAGTAATTTCTCGTCGTTGTCGTCGTCGTCGTCGTCGTACAAAATTCCGTTCTACCGATCGAGCACGACTAACACGAACGACAGTCTCGTTCTGCCGACGCTAAAAGCCTCGTGGACGACTCCAAGTGTACATTTATCCCTGCGAAGCTGTTCGAACGCGACCACGAGGAGGTCATCCGTGGCGAAAAAGGTGGGGGATTCGCGCGCACCTCATTCGTGTCGTTGGTTCGTCGGTGTCGCTGTTGTTTAGACAGATTGTCGTGGGAGTAAGTGGAAATAGCCGAGGATGAGGAGACGAAGAACTTGCTTGCTTTGTGAGAAGAGAAGAAGAGGGATATGTGCAAAGTTAAAAATCAAGAATGTGGATCGAGAAAAGAAGATCGAAGTAATAAATAATAAAGAGACTTTGTTATTTAGAAGTTCTATTGTTACACGAGAGTAAAAGATTATTCCACGGGATATTTCGCGAAAAGCATGCTAATTAGATTGAGGGAAATGGAGGAAAGGTAAATAGAAACGTAGGAGCGTACCAAGTAGTGATGAGAGGTATGGAGAGAACGATGGGGGTCGAGGGCCAACTGGCTGTTGATTGCGACATCTTGAAGCTCTCACGTTGACAAGAGTCATTTGCCGACTGTTTTCAATGAGGCCCATTGTCTATCGGAGCGCACGTTTGCTCTTTGCAATACTGTAAACATTTAAGATTTGTTTTCGAAACTACAAAAATATACCGGGGTGATAAGACATAAAAAATAAATAAATATTTAATATAAAATATAGACAGACGTATTGTCCGAGATAGAAGATTGAGATGAACATGATATGTTAAGAACTTGATTAATTAACTTACGATAATGAATAAACGGAGGTTATTATGACTTATTATCGAAGATTTATATCTACAATGCTCACGCAAGTTGGCATGAGAGAAAATTAGCAAGAGAGAAAAAATCTGATCAATCTATTTTTAGATAACAGAAGTAAAGTTACAATAATTAGTCGATCGTTTATCATTAAGAAAAAATTCTGTAAATGCTGAATCATTATTCAATTTACTAGACATATTAATTTGTAAATTATTATTTCTAGTCTGTTTAATATTACAGAATGTGATCATATTGATACAAATCGACCTAATCTCATCATCATGCCGCGATTCACAAAAAAAAAATATGCAACAACTTGTCTTAATCTACGAAAAACAAGAATAATTTTTTCTTGTCGAGATATAAAAACTTCTATGAAAACGGCAATAATAATAATAAATATATGATATAATAATAAATAGTAATAAATATATATTGAGATTTAATAAATACATTCTTGAGCAACATAAAGTTTTACTATTAAAATGAAGATTAAATTTGATGTATGATCCTAGATCATTCGAAATAAAAATATATATAATAAATATATATATAATAAAATTTATTATATAAGGAATAAAGTATATTTTGTGTTTTTATATTTTATTCGATAAAAAGCTCGTCATAGCATATTTAATTTAAACTTTTTAGTATATTTAATTTAAAATATGTACATTTCATAAGACATTTGTACATACTGCATTTCTCAAATATTAAATAAATTTAATATGCAAGGAATAAAATATTTTGTGTTTTTATATTTTATCCGATAAAAAACTTGCCACAGCGTGACAGACTAGTTTTTAACTTAAAGTTTTTATAAAATATGTACATTTGAAGTGACATTTGTACACAAAATTATTGCATCTAAATGTTAAATGTTTAAATGTTAAATGTTTATTTTGTAAAGTAGCATATTGAGTAGCGTGTGGCGTCCTTCGTTTGTTTTGAACAATAAATATGATTTCCGCAACAAGATTGTCAAGTCGGAAACATCTTGAATGAGATTCAAACAAATAGATATTGCGCAGCATATTTTCACATTATTTTTTAATCGCACAAATATAATCCTATAAAAAGCGAGATGCGATCATTCTTTACAATAATCAACAAGTTAGATTAATCAAGTCACGAGCTTGATGATTTCTCAGTCAAGACAACGACTATTTCTCATGAGACAGATATTTTGCTTAGTTTATTTATTATACAAGTTTATAAACTATATAATTGCTACATCGCAATAATCACGTAATCGTTATTTTTTTTTTACGATTTATATCTTTGAATATGTATATTGTCGTACTTGTCACACTTTGAATATCTTTTTTTAATCTTATAAGTGGAATTTGCTTCCTAGTTTAAAATTAAAAACGTGAAATGATATGTAAATATTAATGATGTAATTAACGGAAAGCTGTGATTTATCTGTGATAGATTTCGCGGGATTTATATTACACGTGTGTAATATTAAATTGTGATATTTTTGAACGATCTTGATTGACCCAACTTTATGAATTGAATCACGTACTATTATATATCAGGGCTATTACATTATTCACTTAGCATAATTTATTCATTGTCAAATTATACAAGAATTACTTAACTAAATTACTTAACGTTACACTGAACTCAGAATTAAATTACTTATTCTCATTTGATTATAGTGCTGCCGCACAGAGATTGAAAAGGAATTAATTCACCGGCGCTATCAAATATTGCAAATCAAAATATCACAGATAATCACTTTTAAAATTTTCAATCGTTAATGGGATGTTACGAGTGTGCAAAATGAATCAATGTCTAGCAGCATCACGCAGCAATGCGTTTAATTCGTAAGTAAAGTTGTAATTTTATTTTGGTTTTTGACAACTGCGTAGAATAAATTTAAATTTGCACATTCGCAACTCGTTAAACTTCTCGCTATTTGAGATTTCTTTACTGCGTTAATTTACGAGTTGTCGCGGATATGATCAAGCAAATCACCTTGTGCGATATGTTTTTTTTTTCATCACGGTATGCACAAGTGCATGTTGATGCGTGCGATTAACGATATCCTGCGAAATACCGCACAAAATATCATATTTCGATATTCAATCGATCATAATTAATTATGTTTTCGCGAGTGAATATCGAGCAAGTGATAAAAAAAGACAAAGACACAGAAGAGAAGATGGAAGTTCGGGAAAGAATCGAAAAAATCATAAATAAATAAAAAATAATAATCAACAACTGAATGCAAACTTTTGCAAAAAGAGATTTTGTCTGGCAGGAAAATTATTTCCAAGGCAAATATTCTTAGATTTTTAAAACTTTTAACTGAAAAATATTTAAAATATTCGTGACTTCAAATTTTTTTATTCAAAATGATATTTGAAATTAATATTTAAGATTTTGATTATATTTAAGATATATTTGGAATGATTCAAAATGTCTTGAACATATCACTATACACAGCAATTAAGAAACCAAGAGAGATCGATTGAGTAATAAAAATAAATACCACTGAAGCTATTAAAATTAATAACAAACGACAAATTGATACGTGTGTAAGAACATACGAACAATTTGCTTCGATGATTATTGAATGGTGTCGCCGCTCATTGAGGTAAATCGTTCGCGTTTGTTCGTACTTGTTTCCTGGCTTAACAACTGTAATTATATAGATTTAAACACGCAAATTCTATATGATATTGTTGCCAACTTTGATCGCTTATAACTTGAAAGCAATTGCAATCTCAATATTTCATTGTAGAAGAATTTTCGAAATTTCTAATTAATACTTAAAACGCTGTTAAAATATTAGGGAACTTCGCACAAGAAACTGCGTGGAAGAAATATTAGGAACAGAAATAAATATTATATAATTTTGAAAATGTAAATGCGGAATAAAAATTAAACATAACACGCAATAAATACAAGTAAGTTTTACGTTTAATTTTTTATTCCGAAATTTAATATTTATATTCTTGCTCCTAATATTTCTTCCATTATGCGCGGGGCCTTGCATGGTGGCTATGGGATATTCATTATGGACAGGTGCAGTATCTGTACGGGAAATAAATGTGGTTGCAGAAATCACGTGGAATATTGTTCGCATGCACGATTCTTAGATGAGTCGGAAGGGCGTGTGCATATGAAACATCGATAAACGGGTTCTGTGAAGCATCATAGGACTTAAAACTGACTGCTGTGCAATCCTCCAGCGTTATGAGATGACTCACAGCTCACGAGTGTATCCGCGTAATTACGTCGTACGGTCTCTCATCGAGATGGAACAATACGTATCGTTTCCCGATTTCAATCGACCTCTTGGGCATTACATACAACGTTATTGTTTAAAATCCTAGGGAATAAATTGTGACATGTAAAACATTAAGTCAACTATTATATAATAAGGAATTATCAACAAAAGACTGGAGGTATCTCAATGCTAAATTGTTGACGTTAATGTTCCAGATACTGTGCGTCACAACTAAAAAAAAAAAGAGAGAGGAAAAAAAGAACAAAAAAAAAAAGGAAAATCATGTAAATCGCGGATAATACACGTGTAACACGCGCGTGTTACAACCGTAAAGTTCAACGCAGATACAAATCGGACACGTATATACACGAGCATTTCTCGACGAGCGCATTCGCGCGGTAGCTGATCTTGAACTACATGTTCCACTTAGCTTTCATGATCAGGCGCTCTCTTTGACAGACGCCTGACGGCGACCGCACAGGGTTAGCCGTTGTGATTAATACAACGGTGGCTCGCAGTAAGGATGCGTAAACAACCGCGCCCAGGTAGGCTCAGAAGATAATCCCACGACGATCTGGAATGTACGTAACTGCGAATAGTCTAAGCCAGTTTTACGAGACCTTGAAGCCGTTATGGCGAAGTTCTTATGTGCACACACATATCTGCATATTTCCATGCCGTACGATGCTGCTCGCATGTACACGGCGCGATATACTCGTTTACATAATCTGCGCTTACATAGTGGATATTGTATAATATAGGAAAATGTGGCTCATACAATTTATCCCTAGACGGAGCTTTCAATTTATTGCATCGGACACTCGTAACTTTTCTGCTTCGTATCTACGAACTACGACCTAGACAAAAGTTGCACGTCTCTCAGTTATTTTTTTGCTGCTGTTATATTAGATCAGAGGTTTGATTATATGATTTTTCAAAATTACAGGCAATACTTTATACGGCCAATTGTACCTTGAAACTTTCGTTTTTTTTAGTCAATTTTATATTGACAGCATCTCTATGTTTAGAAAAAATATCATTTATAATATTTATAGAAATA